TATTGCCCCGTAATCTTGGCACGTTTGTATAAGACTTATAAAGATGCATCAGACATCCTCTATCACTGCCTCATGATATATGTGAACATTGAGTGTATATTCATTGCTTTCAGGCCCTTGTTTTTGAGGTTTTTTATGTGAAGTACGAATGTTAATTTCCTGTCTAAAATTATGCCTAAAAATTTACACTCACTTTTCCCAGCTAATCGTTGCACATGAAGGTCATTAACAGGATTGGGATGGGGACCTCTCTTTCTTGAAAATAAATCGCATATGCTTCTTTGCGATTTAAGGTTCAACCCATTCTTGACAGCCCATTTGGTAACATTATTCAAACCAACTTGAAGCTGCTCCTCGCACATCGTGAAACTTAAGGATTTAAAACCGACCTGAATGTCGTCTACATATGCGCAATAAAAGATATTGCGTGGAATGTAGGAATGTTAACTATTATATTTAAAAAAAAAAGTGTGCAACTCAAGACACCACCTTGAGGCACTCCAGTCTCCTAAACCAATGTTCGTGACAATACATTCCCCATGCAGACACGAAAAGTGTGGTTGGACAAGTAACTTTCGATTATGGTCAGAGTGTTGCCTTGGACATCTAAGTGTGAGAGGTCTTGCAGTATGCCGAAATGCCAGGTGGTGTCATAAGCCTTTTCCATATAGAGAAACAATGAAAGAAAATAATGATCATGGACGAAAGCATCATGGTTTTGTGCCTCAATTCGTAGCAAGTGGTCAGTAGTGGATCTACCCTCGCAAAGTCTGCACTGGTATGAATCCACTACATTACTTGTTTCTAGGAAGTGTAGAATCCGGCAGTTAATCGTCTTTCCGAAAAGTTTACACAGGCAACTTGTAAGTGCGATCCGCCTGTACCTAGCAACAGAAAATGGATCCTTTCTTTGCTTTAGAATCAGGATAATGATGGCTTCTTTCCAGACTAGGGGGATCTCACCAGAAAACCATATGGCATTACACAGAGAAAGGAGAGCTTTTAGAGTTTCAGAGGGCAAGTGTTTCACCATTTCCTATACTACTCAGTTGAGCCTGGGGCGGATTCATTGCAGCAAATAAGAGAGGCTCAGCTAAACAGAAAAGTTCACTGTATGCCACATGTGTCGTAGATTTGTGCTTTATTTTCTGTTTTCTATTTATAGTTTTATGCCATTGGAATGCTTCAGTATAGTGCAACGAATCGGAGACCTATTCAAAGTGTGCCCCGAGAGAGTTTGCCTGATCCTCCAAGCTGTCGCCTTGAGTGTTCACTAGAGGAAGTGAGTGTGCTTGCCATCCTGCTATCTTGCCAAGCATGTTCCAGACTTTCACCTCATCTGTGTATGAGTTAATTCCCGCCAAATATTTTTACCAGCTCTCCCTTCTAGCTTTTCGACGCACTCTTCTTCCTTGAGACTTATTGTTCTTGAAACGATCTAGATTCTTCGCTGTCGGTGAATCTCGAAGCAACTTCCATGCCTTATTTTGCTTTTTCCATGCATTTCGACACTCACTATTTCACCAAGAGACGCGTCGTTTGGCGCACGGTCTCAATTGTGGGATGAACTTTGTAGCAGCATCAATTATAAAAGCTGTGAAGAATTGAACAGCTGCGTCTACACTTAAGTAACGTAGATTGAACAAACTTAGGCTAGTCGCCTTTCAAAACTTTTCCCAGTTGGCCTTGTCGATCTGTCATCTATGAGCTTGTGGAGGACCTGCATTATCTATTGGTGAGCTCAGAATTATCGGAAGATGGTCCCTTCTGTAAGGATTATTAATGACTTTCCATTTCAGTTGAGGTAGAAGTGATAGGGATGTAATGCTGAGATCTATGGACGAGTAGGTGTTGTTCGCCAGGTTGTAATATGTTGTTTGCTTCTGATTCAAGAGACAAGCGCAGGTTGAGAAAAGGAATTACATGACCTCGTGCATCGCAGAGAGAATCACCCCTTAAACTACTATGTGCGTTAAAGTCTCCAAGAACCAGATAATGTTCTGGGAGTTTGTCTATTAAAGCCTGAAATTCTTGTTCTTAGAGCTGGTGATGTGGGAGTATCTAAAATGAGCAAATAGTGACGATTTTATTGAAGAGGACAGCTCGAACAACCACTGCACTGAAGGACGTTTGAAGGGGTAAGTGTGAGCATCCAATTCCTTGATTGACAATAATGCACATGCCATTATAGCCAATGACACCACCGCATAAACTTGGTCCTTTCAGAATATAACATAATGGCGTAAAAAGTTCTTGTTTTTAGATTTTAGGTGTGTTTTTTGTCAACACAGCACTTTTAGAAAATGTTCATGTAAAAGTTCTTCGACATCATTGAGGTTTCTCAGCAATCCTCTGATGTTCCATAGTAAACTTAAATCTCCATTTTGTGTGTAAAGTAGTGCTGTGTGCCCAAAATGAAAATTACTTAAAATTTAAGTAATAGAGGGTCTTTTCCAGGCTCTTTAACACGAATCTTATCTCTTTTGAAGCGGTCGAGAGACTCTCTCTGCTCCATAGGCGCATAGTAAGCCTTTGGTGTAAGTGTAGTGTCCATTGCCTCTGACGAGGCAACGGGCGAGCGTGAGGTCTCACGTAAAAACAAACCTCGCCACAGAGGGCAAAACCTTTACACCCCCCGGTCCGGAAGTCGATAGTCGATGGGGTTGTTTTTGGGTCCATGCTGCTCTGGCTGTTGCCAGCGCCAGTTCGGGCCAGGGAGAGTCAGGCAGCCTTGGCTGTGCCCACTGCGTCCAGTCGTGGCGGTAATGAGCTTTCAGTACACATGGAGCAGGCTTTCATAATTAGTGCATAGGCCAGCGACCCTAAGGTAGCGGGACTTTTTTGCTGGATAGGTGGAGCAGATGTAACTAGTTCCACCATGGGGGCAGGAGCCACAGCCAACAGCTCGCTTCAAGCAGGCTGGGCTTTTGATAAGGGCTGGTGCGGCGCTGCTCCTCGACACGCTGCATCAGCACAGAATGCGCCGTAAAATGTTTAAACCATTCTTCGTGCCTCCTTGAAGGAAATATTTTCTCTGTATTTTAGTGGGATTATTTCCTTTCTTGTTTCCAAGTAGTACAGGCTCTCCAATATGCCATGCACCTACCATCACAGTTTGCACAGTGTAGTGGACTGTCACAAGTGTCGAAAGAGTGTTTGTGATTCCGGTACGTGGCACACGCCAGTCGGCTACTTCAACTCTGCGAACCATGACCAGAACGCTGGCCCTTAAAACACCTGCATGGATTCGGGATGTAGAATCTGATGCTTGTATTTGTGTAACCAGTTTCAAAAGACTTGGGCAAAACAGTTGAAGCGGAAGTGATGATCAGAAATTTTGTCATAATTTCTTTGCTCTCACACCTTATCTTAATTTGGTCCTTCCATCCTTCGAGAAGCTCTTCTTCGCTCAAGTTCAGATGATCATCGGAAATCACTTCTCTGATGCTGTTCATGACCGATGAGGGGTCACAGTGATTAGAAATGTGCCATATGCCACAAGGTTGGAAAGCTTTTCGTACTGTGAAATATCACTTACTTCAAGTAACAGATCACCGCTGATCATTTCAGTGGTCTTATAGCCAAGTCCTATTGCGTCAGCAAGACACTTCGCAACAACAAATGGGGACAGGGTTCTCCCAGTCTGATGGAATTCAGACAAACATTGGATTTCATCAGTTTCTTAGTTATTTTATAGAGAATGAACTTTCTGTTCTGAAAAGCAGTCGGCATTGTGTCACAATTTTGACAAGTCTTTTAATGGAAGAAGACTTGCTCTAAATTCTACTCCCATACTTGAATTCCATACACTTGCAGGATTCCACTGCAAAAAGAATTATTGTCACACCTGTCCTAGCTGTCGAGATACCAAGGCCTCAAGACTGAACAGTTCTAAATTTACACTTTAATAAAAATGAAAAGAACGAGTAACACACAGTTTCTTCAAAAAAAAAAAAGTAGGGTGTGCATGTTTTGCAATACGAACACATATAGACACTAGAAATATAATGTGACTACTGGTTAGAATTGCAGTTGGTTAGCATTACACTCTTGGTCACAACATGCTTCAGATTTAGACTCGGCTTCTAGCTGCCTGTTTTTTCTCACTCATCCATCTGATGCTTAGGAGGCTGGGTTTTGGATGAAATTCTACCAAGATACCTAATGAGTTTTCATATTGCCACAATTTAACTTCGTTATTGCTTCCGCAAGCTAGAAGCAGGCAGCATCACATGGATCTATAATTTCAGCAGAGCTGCCGTATTTTCACATGTACCCGACACCAAAAGACAAAAAAAAATTGACGTTTGCCATGTACACAGCATGACCTCGATGGAGGACTAAAAGGAACAGACACATGCAAGCGTTTAAGTATCAACTCACCCAGCTTGCCCCAGCATGCTGCTTTAATTCAGAAAAGCGTGCTTAAAAGGTAAGGGTACGGGTTAGATACATATCTTTTTTTTTCTGTAATTTTAAAAATTAAGGGTGTAGGTTATATCCGAAAAAATATGGTATGGTATATTATGAGATCAAGGTTACAGACTCTCTCGTGGCAATGGAAATAGAAACTGGCAATTCTGAACTAGAACAGAAAATAGCCAAAAAACACAACCACACAAGAGGAAGGACATAAAAGCAGCTTGTGTTTTTGGCAATAAAATATGTATATTTCACATGCAAAAACTGCTAAATAGCAGAACACCTTCTGCAACCTACTTCAAACAATAAACAGTAAGCACAATCTGACATCTCACTGCTGAAAACTGTGTAGGACTTCCCTTAGGCATACAGGATAAAATGTTGCCAGAATTACATGTTAGCAGAAATAAAAAAAAGTTGGAGGGAGCCCATCCCAGCAATCTGCCAGAAATTAATAAAGTTTACATCTCTCTCTCTCTTAATCTCTCACTGTGCGGAATTACAATGACCACAAGACTGACTAAAAAGCCACCAGTATGGATGAGCCATTACTTACTGATGATGACATGCTCGCTCACCTGTTTTTGTGATGACTGGTGACTCGTGAAGCAGCTCTAGATAAAGTGGAATGTACATACGAAGGTCCTGGGAGATACCATTAGTGTTGAGCATGACAGTCAGCTGGAAAAAGAGAAGAACAAATTTCTTGAAACTTGCACTTCCAAACAACAAATGTATTTTATCTGCACTTAACACTGAAAGCAATGCACTACAGTAGACTCAGTGAACGGAAATGTGTTAAACAAAACTGTTGCTTAAGTGGAACAACTGCCTCTAGCACGATTGGTTTCCTACTTCGATTCTTCACCCTTAATCATCTTTCAGTAAACGTAACTCCTGTTATACAAAACATTTTCCTGGTCCTTTCAGGTTCTGTTTAACGAGCCTACAGTACATCGAAAATGATTACCGTTCTCACCTACCATAAAAACCGAGATAGGTCTTTTTTTTTGTAAAAAAACTGCAATAAAAAGTCAACCATCGTCTTATATGCCGGTCATTGGCAGAAAAAAATGTGGACGACCGCAACAATGGGCAGCTGAAATGAAAGCCTCCATTGCCATCGTGAGCATCAGCAGCAGCGCCGTTGGGCAAGGCTAGGCAAGGCCTACAGTGTTCTATAAATGCCATTTTGCCTCGGTTATCTGCTGACAGTCTGCTGTTTTCTTTTTTCTGTTTCCTTCAGAATGAGTGGTAGTCGATGGCAGTTTAGAATCGGCGTTAAGAACAAAGTTATTGAGCATGCCGAAGTGCTTGGCAACCTGGAAAGCTGGCAGCACAACGGGAATTCGGTGCATCGAAGAAAAGCATTCAAAAATGAAGGAGCCAAAAGCAATGCATCACATCCTGCAGCAACCAAAAAAAAACATTGTTGCTGGACAGACTGCAGTAAACCCTGAACTGCAAACGCTATTCGCCGAATTCATCTGGGAACTGCGTGCAAGGTCGCTACCCATAACAGTATAGTGCATCCGCGTAAAAGCTCTCGAGATAGTGCGCGACTCTTGGCTCACGAGTGTGAAATTCAAGGGATCGCCATCGTGGGTGCACCAATTATGAAGCGGAAAGGCTTTGAGCTGAGGTGGCGTACTTCAATCTTTCCGGAAGTGCTGCATCAGTAACACGTTGGATTGAACGAAGGACGATGCACTCTGGGACATTACTAGCAAAAAACGGACATCAACAGATTCAAGTTTGGACAAGTCTGAGTGACAGCACTTCGTGGCCTCCTGTGGTTTAACTACATAAAATTAGTGTCCAAATAAAATGTCACCACAGTGTAGCTGGTTGTATTGCGTATTTACCAAGGTAAGGGTGTGCCACGATACTTAGCAATTTCTAAAAAATTTCTTTTTCAGAGATTCAAAGTTCGGGGAGTCGACCTATATTCCGGTCCAGCCTATACTCGGGTTTTTAGAGTAGTCAGAAAATACAGTAACACTAACACACCGAAGCTGCTAAAGAGAAATCCACTAATCAGCATACAATAAACAAAGTAATTTTTGCTTTTAGCAGTCTGCACCTTGCTGGTGCAAATTTGTCGAGTGCCATCACCATCAGCTTTAACTCTTTTGTCACCACACCTATTCAAATCGATCACCGGTTATCAACACATTTGGTTCGTCAATTTCGGCAAGTTAACTTTGTTTCTCGCGCCCCGCACTCTCTAGTATTTAGTCAAGCCACTCGATTTTCAGAATCATTTTGAATTTGTTAGTTATGCCAACATGGGGATTTTTGACAGACCTTTGAGCGAACCAATGTGCGTGTATTAGAATGTGCGTGTATGTGCATGCGTGTATGCGTGTGCGTGTATGCGTGTATGCGTGTTTGAAAAGTGCACTAGAGTGGCGAACTTGACAGCTGTCAAGTGCGTGCTCCTCGTGATTTTGCTATAGTAACATCGAAGTTCTGTAATGAAAAGTACCTTTGCAAGTGTCAGCTTCGCAATTTGAGTATCTTGACAAGTAATTATTGCGAGAGATTTATGCCAGCTATTCAATAAAGAGCTGTTTCTGGTAGTCAGGGAAAATTTGTTCTACAAAAATTATTTACAAAGATCCGCCATGTGTTCAAAGTGTTGAGGTGGCCTTCTCTGACAGTTTCCAAGAGCTTTCGTTTTGCTTGCATCGTTATATCAGACACAGGGTCGCATCTAGAGTCACTAGTCGCCCCTATAGCATCGTCGTCACAAACGCATGGGTGCGCACCAGCGCTGAAAAACACATGCGCTGCTCGAAATTGTCTTGCAACCCCACCTGAATTGAGTGACAACGAGTTTAGATAGAGTTCAAGGATGACAGCACCCCGGATTCAAGATTTATGGCGATGATGTTTTGCGTCAGCCTGAGATATCCGCAGCCTTTCATGGTATTGTTTTGTTTACATCCTCAAGTTGTCTCCTCAGCTGCAAGTGCGTATAGCTTCTCACCTTTGTGCACAATCTTATAGCTACTCTGGTTACGTGCGTGGTCCACACTTCGCGGGAGCGTGGTGTGCTGGCACTGGCTGCAGAGCTTTTCCTAACGGCAAGAAGGCCCCCAGAGCACATCTTCGCCCCGACTACGAAGTAATGCGACACGTTTTAGAACTGCGTGCAATATTGTTTCTTTTTTAATAGGATATGCACAAAATGCAAATAAAGATGCTTGGATGCATATATTAGAACGCCAACCAATGCGGAGCGAGGTGGCTCATGGAAAAAGGTGACGCTAGATGAAATAGCGAAGTTCATTGGACATCTCATTTACAGAGGGATTATTCACACCACGGGTATCCATCCATCTGCATTGGAATACCTGGAGACTCTCATCGCAAGACAATAAAAATTTACTGAGGAAATTGTACGAGTACCCTTGTGTCTCGCAAAAAATCATGCAATGCTTCACTGCACGGCACGAGCAACGAAGCAGCACCTCGGTTCTGATTTCCTTTCTCTATGTGAAGAGAAACATTTTTACAACATTCAATATTTTTTATACTGCTCCTTGGTTATTTGTCTACAAAATGTACATCCTGAATTTTCTTCATTGTGAATATTTTTGCATATATAGTGCTTTTTATTGCATTGTTTACCAGCTGGCAACCAAATATTCCAGTTTTTCATATTTTTATTCATTCTAAAATGTTTTGTTGCTCTAGAACATATGTTTTTTAGAAAGACCATTTCATTGTTTAAAGTTTGGTATGCTGCAATTCATGCTGAATTATTTTTCAAACTGGCAAAAACTATCTTCCCGAGACATATGAAAAACAACCATTTTTGCGTGGTAATGAAAGAGTCAGGATTTTGTTGAATACACTGTAAACTGGTGACAGGTCCCCATGTCACAAGTCGGAGGTTCAGTCAAATAATAACCAAGTATGACAGCGATAATGTTTGATGTTTAAAAGACACAAGGGTCAACTGTGTAGACTGGTGACAGGTCCCCATGTCACAAGTCGGAGGTTCAGTCAAATAATAACCAAGTATGACAGCGATAATGTTTGATGTTTAAAAGACACAAGGGTCAACTGTGCACGCAAGTATGAAAGTACGCTTCTAACTATGGTTAGAAGCGTACTAAAGTAGAGGACTCGAAATTACAGTAGACGCTCATTAAGCGGAACCTGAAAAGGCCAGAAAACCATGTTGCATTTCATAAAAGTTCTGTTTATAGACAAATAAATATGGATGCGGAATTCAAGCACGAAGCTAATCAAGTTTAGAAGCAGTTGTATCACTTCAGCAGCAATTCCCTTTAGTGAGAGTCTACTGTTTTGAGAGTACCTGGGGTCAAACACCTTTCTCTCTTATCTGCTCAGTAGCCAATTCCCAAGAGTTTGATGGTAGCAACAGTCTATATACACCATCTGATCTAGATAAAGTGCTGGGTGTGCTTGAGGAGTCATGAATGTTGCTTTTATTTTTCACATGAAAGATCATTGTGCTTAGTATTTCCAACTTCAACGAAGTACTATAAACTTTTATCCTAAGCAAATGAGCAAAAAAATGAAAAATCTGCATCCCCACCCTCGTTTTGTCATGTCTTTGAACTAAAAAGAGAGCTCCAAGACAAAACAAGTCAAGTACCTCAGCATGCATAAAAAGCACACGACTCATTGTAAGTGCAAAAGCTAATTCATCTAGTGTGTTGTAAAGGAATTGTAAAAACTAGGCATGAGCAACTAGTAAATATTAGGCATCAAAGCAAATAGTAATTTGGTCTAATAATTTTGTATTGAATTCAAATAGTGTATATCACATTTTTAAAAAATGAGCATATTTTTTATGATTCAACTAACCTGCAACACTATATTTTTCTAAATTTAAACAAGGCGTGTGCAAATGTGATTCTTCTTGGTTAAAAAAAAAAGAGGAAGCAACACTGAACAGTAGCAAGATTTGACTCTCTGTAGATTCCAAGTGATAGCCCATAAAAAGATGTTTCGTTTAAAAAGTTACTATACATAGAGTATATAAGCTGGTATTACAAGCTTTTAAACTTAAAAATTGATGAAGTGGTATGAGAAGAATAAAGCAAGGTTTTGTGGTATTGCAAATTTTCCCTGGATATGTGTATCCACAGTACAACATCACTCCACTGGAATGAAAACAACTTTACAATAAGCTACATGTGGATTTTATATGTCTACTCGTTCATTTCAAACAGTTCCAAACTTAGAATAATTCAGGTTCATTTCAAAGTGAAGTGGAATGCTGTGATATTTGTTAGAATATTCGAAGTACTTGAACATTCACACATGCCTAGTGAAAACCTTGTGCTACTTTTTCTCACCATTCGGGTTTCTGGCCTACATAGTAAGAGTCTAGATTTTTAGAAAAATTTATAATATTTCGGCAGCTGCAATTGGCGCACATATGTGCTTTAGCAGCACTGCAACAAGGCTCTGAGTGACAGGCCAAGCACATGCACTACATGAGCTTCTAGGCTTTGAACCCCATTCACCCCATGTAGAAGGTCAAGTTCCTCAACCACTAAAGATGCCAAGCAACCCAATACCAGGAGCCGAAAATATATACATAGTGTTCATGTGATGTCACTTCCGCCATTGTCGCCCTCTCCCGCCATGCCCGGGTACCTCCCTGGGTACCCACGGCAGTTCGCGTGCTGCAGCGC